TCTGGCGCCTTCTCACAGTACGGGACAAGGTCCAACTGGAGTAAGATTGATACGATCATTTTTTGCAGGCACTTTGCAGGTCTAAGAGCACCGGCCTGTGCACACTGCTCCTCCATGGCTCATACTGCCAATTTTTGTCCGACCACTGCGAACGAACCTACCACCTCGCAGGGCACTAGCTCCGCTGTGTCAGCAGAGAGAACACCCAAAGACAAACTGGGTCGACCTATCAAGTTTTTGGGGAAGTCCCAAATATGTAATAATTTCAATGTCGGTGCATGTAATTACAGCGGTTGTCGGTTATTGCATATATGTTCAAAATGTTTTAGGGCACATGCGAAAACCATGTGTCCAAATAAAATGTACCCTAAGCAATACTTAACTGAGATAAATATTTCTGTACTCACGGCATTACTGTCACGACATCCATCTAGACATTTGGTAGACTTCATCATCACTGGTCTATCACAAGGATTCCATACTGGTCTCATACACATGCCTTCAGGAATCCTTGAATGTCCTAATTTACAATCTGCACAACAAAACCCTACAGCGGTTAGCACACTCATAGCCAAAGAAGTGGCAGAGGGCTTCCTATTGGGACCCTTTCAGTCCCCTCCTTTTTCCACATGGCGGACAAACCCCATCGGTATTGTCACAGGGAAATCTTCCCACAAACAAAGACTTATCATCGATCTGTCTGCACCTCACACCTCTGCCTCACCTAGTCTGAACTCCCTTATCCCCTCTGAGGAATTTTCACTTCAATACTCCACCATAGATCACGCCATTACAGCTATCATGCAGGCAGGGGTCGGAGCATGGCTCAGCAAGACTGACATTACAAATGCCTTCAAATTATTGCCTATCCACCCTACACTATGGCACCTGCATGGCATTAAGTGGGCCGGGCACTACTACTTTTTCTCACGCCTAACGTTTGGTTCAAAAGTAGTCCGGCCATTTTCGACGTATTCGCCGAAACATTATGCTGGTTATTATTAAATGTAGCCAGATGCCCTACAGTTATACACTACCTGGATGATTTCTTACTGATCGAAGAGAACACTTCCCCTCCCAGTAGCCTCATAGCAACCATCAGTCTTTTCAAACAGGTGGGTGTTCCAGTCTCCCCCACCAAAACTGAAGGACCAGATACAGTCATCACCTTTCTGGGAATCATGCTAGACTCAGCCACCATGCAAGCCAGCCTGCCACGCACCAAGATAGAGAACATTCTCACCAACATTAACCTCTACATACACCTCGGTACTTGCAATCGCAAAGAATTGCAGTCTCTACTTGGGTCACTGAACTTTGCCATGCGCATTATACCTCAAGGCCGGGCTTTCATCTCACGGCTCCTAACCATGTTCCCACTGTTTAGACATGATGCACACAGGTTACCACTGGATACCCAAGCCACGGCAGACCTACTTATGTGGAGAAACTTTTTGACCACCTGGAATGGGAAAAGCATGTTTCTCCCTAAATTGTCTGACTCCTCACCTACCATCTGGTCAGACGCGGCGGCTACCACAGGTTTTGCAGCAATTTACGGGAATGAATGGCTTTGGGGTAGCTGGCCTCCAGAGGTACAGGACCTGGAAGGGTTTTCCACTACCTCAGCTCTATTTGAGATGTATCCCATTGTAGCAGCTGCCGTGACATGGGGGCATCTATGGGCAGGTTCGTCAGTACGTTGCCACTCAGACAACCAAGCTACCTGCCACATCATAAACAAAGGCCGATCCAAGTCACTGACCATTATGAGGTTCTTGAGGAAACTCACCTGGCTGGCTGCATGCCATAACTTCTTCTTGTTTTGTGTCCATGTCCCAGGTGTTTGTAACACGGCTGCTGACAGTTTGTCTCGTTTCAATTTTCAGGCTTTTCGGCAAATACTTCTGTCAGCCGCACGTACAGCCACGACCACTCCACCTTTCCACCAGCTAGTCATGGACTAGAAGCTATTATGCAACATAGCAGGACATTGGCACAATTAGCACTGTCCACCAATACCCGGAGAACATATGACAGGGCTTTCCTTCTATTTAAAAGATTCCTGTCACTGCACAACGTCACACAACCTTTCATCATGACATCTTTGTTAGGTTTTGCTTCTTTTTGCCACCTCAAACTTAAATTATCTTACAACACAATCAAGCTATATCTAACAGGCATACAACATCACATGCTAACATTACAACCAAACAACACAAGTTTCATGTCCTCCTACCAGATAAAAAACATCCTTAGAGGTATCCAGAGATCCGAACCCCCACGTACCGCGCAAAGGCTACCTATAGACTTCAATATCTTCAAGGATTTATCCAGCCTACTAGATTCAAAACCCTTTGCGAACAACACAAACCTTGTTATAAAAACCGCCATATACGTAGCTTTTTATGGTTTCTTGAGACCAAGAGAATTTACCGCCATCAACACATCCCAGTCCACTCACATTCTGCTTCATTCACACTTAACGAAACACATGGATTACTATATTTTAACTCTGCATCACTCCAAAACCAATCAACACGCACCCCCGGTAGAGGTTAGATACTATCCTACCCACAACGTGTGGTGCCCCGTCACATTACTGGACACCTATACTCAGCATTTCAAAGCATCACCATCTCAACCACTTTTCTGTCTACAAGGTTCGGTACTCACTACCACCACCTTCATGACCCACGTCAGGTCCCTACTTACACAACTAGGCCTAAAATCAGCTAACTATTCGGGCCACTCCTTCCGCATAGGGGCGGCCTCCACAGCGTCCAGTGCAAACATTCCAGTACATGTTATCAAGTCACTAGGGCGCTGGAAGTCTTCTGCATACTCTAGATACATACCTAACCCGGTACAAGAAGTTAGAAATGCCTTTCAAGATATGTCTGGTTGAAGTATGTATACTGCTCGTTTCGTAATAAAGTATATTTTCTACTTTTTGCCCTCTTTATTTACAGGCCTACCTCATCGTCGGTTCCGGCACACCACAACCGACTTGCTCTTTCACACTATCCCATACTTATCAGTGTTTGTATCTTCTGTACTATCATGAGCCCTTAACACAAGTATTAAGGCCTTTTGGCCTGTAATTGTGGGAGGGGCGTATGACTCACCTTCTCCCTACTTAAGGGACACCCCTTACCTGGCTCCATACCGTTCGAGGTCAGCGCTGCATCACCCTCCCACCCACTCCTTTTTATGAACTCCTTTTTCTCATACATTTCTTATTGGTGGGCCCTCTTTATTTACAGGCCTACCTCATCATCGGTTCCGGCACACCACAACCGACTTGCTCTTTCACACTATCCCATACTTATCAGTGTTTGTATCTTCTGTACTATCATGAGCCCTTAACACAAATATATATATATATATATACACACACACACACTGACACTCACACATTTAAGAGCTAATACACCTAGCTCTGGTATAGTTCGCTGTAGGGTCCGAAAAAACTAGGTGTATTAGCCCTTAAACGTGTTTATTTCTTTTTATATACATGTATAGATAAAGGTTTTACACCATCCAGTTTTTGATCCCTCCTACTCTAAGGACATTGCGAGATTTGAAAAATCCTTACACTATACTACTAGGGTATAAAGTGGAATTATTTTTCATATTCAACAGATAACGTAAATAAGTGCATATATATATATATATATATATATATATATATAATATTTCTTAATCATTGCCCAAATGTCAGTCTTTTGAGGTCATACTGATTGTGGTCTTCAAACTGAATTTAACCCCTTAAGGACACGTGACATGTCATGATTCCCTTTTATTCCAGAAGTTTGGTCCTTCAGGGGTTAAACCAATTATGTATGTAGGGATTTTATTAACGCTTGCTTTTACCCAGCTGTACAAGGCAAAACATATAACCCTCACATGCAACCTCAAGTGGTATATGAAGAGTTAGGACAGGTACACTACATTATGGATAGGGCTGATCCACTGTATTAAGATGACCCTTGCCAAGTGCACTAACCAGCAGTCTCTCTCTCATACATAAACACTGCAACAAGATATGGATTAGTTGATGTGGTGGTGAGGCGCCTGCTCATCTAAGTGAAGCACTGAGGCTTACCCTCTTTAAAACTATATTACTAGGCAGCAAGACTAGCCCAAGGCCACACATGTGTGCACCTGGAATCTGATCTCATGAGAGAGACCTATCTTAAATGTTGGTTTAGGGCTGTGTAGAGTATTATGTAGCACTATAAGACAGCATGGCATCCATCATACTGTGACCTTTCATCCCTTTACCATGGCTCTTGTCCTGTGTAACATTTATTTCCCCTCCCGTTTAAAGACTGTAATCTTTATTTTTACTGTGCAAGGTAAATACAGGTATATGTGAAGTGCCACAACAGCACTCATAGAGTAAGCAACAAACATTCAATTCGGCACCTGGAATCTGCACATTTTTTGTTATTATTATGTTGGATCGAGCTATACACAATTTTTAGGTATATAGCAAATAGATGATACGTTAAAACTATGTCAGTAAGCAATAATTCGACAATATACTAAGCTCTAGAAACTTTAACTGACAGCATGGGGTTGTTTAGCTAGAGTGAGAATCTAGGAGGAGTGTTAGCTTAAACAAAAGTTTAACGTTAGTACACTCGTTTTATAGTTGGGTTCCAGGCTGTACATGTATGTCTGATTATGTGAAGCTATGGGTTCTGCATTCAGTATAGGTTAGCTATACATGTGGGTGTTTAGGTAAAAACAGAGTTAGCTACATGCTTATGAGATACGAGTTGGGAAGTAGATAAAACCCCTACTGGGAAGCAGGTAATTGCTAGGCAAGCAGGCAGGCGCTTTTACTTCCCCATAGCTGCGCACACGTGGCCGCTTTAGAGCTAAATGGCCGCTGCTACAAAGCATCACAGGTCTATGTATAAAAGACAAACCGCAAAAAACAAACAAAAAAAACAAAACTTAGAGTCATCAGTTGATGTAAGGCATTGTCCTTGTAGGGCTTTACGTTGGGGCTTTCAGCCTATGCCCAATGTCGGGAGGTCCCGGCCGCCGCTTCTACAAGTGTCTCTCTTGGAAACTCTGGGCAAGGTGCCTCCATATCTGGATCCAGCTTTGATGGTGTGCTGAGGGGTACGCTTTTGTTTGGTCTCTCGATTTGCAGCGCTGGTGGCGGGAGGTCGCGGTGTGCTGCGCCAGGCACTGAGAGGTTGGGTTGGTGAGTGCTTTGCAGGTGTCGCTTGTAAGGGGGTCTTGCTGTTGTGTAGCTGCGAGTGGGAGCTTGCGTCTGGGAAACATGGCTTCTGTACCCGCCTTGAGGGCCGCAGGGATCTGCGCTGGGGTGTGGGAGCGCGAGCTCCGGCTCCCAGGAGACAAGGCCCTGTTTCCATCCATGCTTTGCTTCTGCTCCGATTCCCATTGGGAGCTGCTCTGGAGGTACGGGGGGGGTTCCCGCCTAGCTGGCGCCGGGTTGCCGGGCGGATCCATGCCGCCATTTGTCTCATCATCAGCCTGTAGGACTGCCTCCGGGTTTTCAGCTTTGTCCAGAGGTTGTCGCAGAGCCGGTCGTAGAACTCCTGTGTGTGTTTGGGAGGCCTGATGAGAGCACGTTGTGTTGTGGATCTTGTCTGTGCCGCCATCTTGGGTGGGCCTTGGCGAGTCCGCTTTGTCTTAAGTGTTGTCGCTTGTTCATGCTGTGCAGCAGGGGCATTCTTCCCCCGCAAGGACCGGGATATCCCCCGCCGGTCCAGAGGGGGGGGGTGCTTCTCTGGGTGCGTGGCTCGTGTCGGAAGGTCGGCCGTCTCCTCCGGACCTCAGGCCCCGCTCCAGTTTAGGCCGCATGGCCGGCGTTGATTTTTCCGCCACGTATCGGTGCCGGGCCAGTACCATTTTGTGCCTTGCGTTCTGCTGAGTTGGTTCCCGAACACCGTATGCCTCTGGCGTTAGTGGGTCACTCGGTACTTGCGTGAATTTGCTCATTATTGCAGGAGCTCATGAGATGTGCAGCTGGCCATCTTAGCTGCCAGGCCCCGCCCCCCCAAAGACTGTAATCTTAAGGGTTTGTGGGAAATAGGAATTCAGAGATCCCAAGATCTACATGAACTGGGTATGACTTCCTTTGACTCTGCTGGAAAGGAGATGACTTATTCCAAGAAATTACTTTTGTCTTTAGACCTGGTTTGAATTCATATACTTAGAGGGAGCCAACGAAAAAGGCTTCAAAACCTGCTTAAACAAGTATGATCTTTGGGACTATCCCATTCTTTGTTCTTTGGTAATGGGATGTTAATGAAGTTTTAGACTGGAGTGGATGGGAGAATATTTGGGAGGTAGAATATACTCATGAGGAAGCTTGTTACATCCATTAAAAACTCATGGGGAACTCTATTCCTTATGTCTTGAGCAAGGCATCTTTTACCACATGTTAGAAAATGCTACAAAGTAAAGAGAGTCTGGTCTAAAAATGTATTAAGTGCTTTCTGAGTTAAAGGACCACTGTAGTGCCCTGAGTGCCCCTTCCCGCCAGGCTCTGGAGAGAGGAAGGTTAAAAATCTTACCTTTCTCCAGCGCCGGGCGGGGAGCTGTCCTCCTCCTCTCCTTCTTCCTAGCGACCGCGCATTCAGCCAGTTCATAGGAAAGTATTTACAATGCTTGCCTATGGACGCTGGCGTCTTCTCACTGTGAGAAGCACGCAAGCGCCTCTAGCGGCTGTCAATGAGACAGCCACTAGAGGCTGGATTAACCCTCCGTGTAAACATAGCAGTTTCTCTGAAACTGCTATGTTTGTTTAAAAAAAAAAAAAAAAGGGGTTAATCCTAGCTGGACCAGGCACCCAGACCACTTCATTAAGCTGAAGTGGTCTGGGTGCCCATAGTGGTCATTTAATACTCAATGCAACAGATTTGTCTTTTTTGAACTCTACCCTATCCAAACCCGTAGATGCCCTTACAATACATCGAAACACGTTAATAAGGAAAGCAAGGAGGGCCTTGGCAGAGTCCTAGAGAGACATTGACCCTGGCCAGTGGTTACGGTCAAGGCATTGATGTATTTATCAAAAGTAGAACTTTATGGTAACAATCCATCTGAAGGCACAACCTGTCGATTTGGGTTTTAATGAATTTATCCTTCCCGTCATTCCTCTCCTTGTAGCTTTATTCTGCTTTGTCTTTTACTGTAAAAAGTGGTGTGATCCTGGTTATTGCACACATCTTTAACCTCTCTGCAGAGGCATTGCTAGGTTATAAAGACTGCAGGTGGGAGCCAATAAGAGGGTAAAATCCCATTGTGCCACCTCAGCACCCATTCATGGGCAGTGGGTGGGGCTATTAAGTTAGTAGTGGGCAGCATCTGAATTCATGGGCAGTGGGTGGAGGCTATTTTAAAAAAATAAACAAGGGGATTGCCATGCCTTTGTCTACCTGCCAGTCATGGGTGGAGGGAGGGGAATGTCATTGTCCACCCCTTAAAAATGTAGAGAAAAGTGAACTATCACAGCTTTTTTTTTTTCAATTCAAGGTTTATTGGTGAAACCGTGTATTCAGCACAATAAAACAAAGCATATATAAGCACAAGGGACAAAAGGTAACACAGCATTAGGTAGGCAAAGGTGAACATACTACCAAAGATGTGTCGAAAAGTAATAAAGCATAGTATAGGCAATGTCAAACTAAAAAATGGTTTTGAACAGCAAAGCACGACGTAAAGACCGGACGATAAGCAGATTTCCGGACACCGATTTAAAAAATGAAAGAAAGAAAAAAAGACGTGTAGAACAGGTAACTAACATTTCAGCCATGATGTGAGCTCTGGGGAAAAAAAGATAAGAATATTGTGTTGCAGGACTTAGGAGCTGAAATATCTATAGAGGCCCACGTGAATTCCCCCTCCTGAGCATCAGTGTGAACAGAAAATATATCCCGGTAGCCCCACAGGCCTTGTACCAAGCATACACAGCCGCGCAGTACAAAACATCCACTCCAGCAACACAGGGCAACCACATTTCCAGTGAGCAGGCAGCTTGGGGGATCTAGCAGCAGGTCAGCAGTCCTCAAAGGTATAGGAGCAACATGATGCAACCCTTCACATTACGTAGGTATTCCCTCCTGCATCCACTGGGCAGACATGGGAGCACGAAGTCAACCCAGCAACGGGGGGACGGGGGACATCCAATGGGGAGAAATCACCATCATTAGTGGCATTCCAAGTTGCGGCCAATGCTCTAACTCATGGGTCGGGATAACTCCCACAGGCTGGGGGGAGTGCGGCTGGACCCCAAACCGCTGCAGCCTTTAAACAATTGCGGTTCAGGGATCAACAACATCAATTGGCCACAGCTACATGTCTGCAGGCACCCTGTCAACTGTTCAGCTGCAGAGTATCAGGACCATGTGTACAAGTAGGCCTCGAGTGCTGTTGGCTTTGGTAGCTCAGTGCAATCAGCTCCAAACCAAGATCAATAGGAAGCCAGGGAATTCAAAATAAAACGTAAACAAAACGTTGAATTTGACTATATATCTGTTCAACCGTAATTCACCTCTTTCATATTAAGTGCACCCATGGAAACTCTCTTAATACATATTGTGACTCAGGAAATCAGCACTGAGTATTGGACCCCTGACGAAGGTGCAACTAAACGCACCGAAACGCGCGTAGGGTTCTCTGTTAGTTTCTGTCTTTTACACATGGTGGCACTGGTGTTTGATTAACTGTTTTTATTTTGATTTTTTTCTTCAGCATTGAAATATGTGGTCTAGGGGATAACTGGTAGAGAGCCTCTCTCGTTTCCATTTTCTTCAGGGACAGTATATAACACCCTTGAAGGTGTTTGGCGTAGGAGCAATAGGGAATTAACTCTGGATCTGCACTGACCTTTTTACTGCTGTTTTCCAAGCATTCTCTGATGACTGTTGAGCTCTCGTTATATATTACTAGGGACAGCATAGAACACCCTTGAAGGTGTTTCATCCAGGAGCAATAGGGCGGATTCAGTCGTATATATATATCCCTACTGGTAGCCTCCTTTGAATTACTTGTATTGTGGCTATTAATCCTGTCCCATTTTTGATGCAATTGCTTTATTAAGTCTTTCTATCTCCCCCTATTGACCTTGGTATATTTATCCATACTAATTTTGAGTCACAAGTTGGATTGTTCCATACATAGTGCTTTTTTATACATTACAATAAAGTATTTTTTATTTTTTCTGCATTTTTTGTCGAACCAGTATGTAAATTATTATATGGGCAATTTTTACTACCAATACTCATGCTGATTTCCTGAGTCACAATATGTATTAAGAGAGTTTCCTGCACTCTGTTTAAAACCAGTTTTGAGTCTCATTTTCTTTTTTGAGACTCTATTATTTTCATTTTTCTAAAATTATATTTTGGGTACAAGTCCTTCATTTGGTGGATCTGGAACCACCATTCTGACCTCGCAGGGACCTCGCGATCACATGGCCCAGGAGGGCCGGACCAGATGCAGGGGGACTGCCTGGGATGCCAGGTAAGTCCCCCCCCATCGGGATCACCAGCGAGCAGGTAAATCCCCTGGATGGAAGTTTCCTGTCTTCTTCTTTTCTAGAGACCAGAGGCAGCAGCTCCTGCTCCCAAGGTCAGTTTTTTTTATACACGGGCCTACTGTTTCTGAGTGAAGTCTCTACATTCATTGTGAGGGCATTATTAGGGTTTTACCCCAGCTTACCCACTCTTAGGATCAGCTAGTAAGTATTGTACTTTATAAAATGTATTATGTGCAGTCGTGGGAGGCAAATTATTGAAAGAGGGAGCAGAATGGTCGAGACAATGAATTTTGCATGAAATCTTTATGAATATTGTTCATCATTTTCTTGTATATTTCATAGTTTCCTACATATTTCAGAAACACACACTGTAAGTATGTAGTGCAGTGTATGGGCTGGGTCCGATGAGCTGATGTAATCTTATTTTTATTCTCATTTATTCACTGCGCACTGTTTTAGCAAATACAATGTATACTCATATCAGTGCCTGATACAACAGCTTTTCACAAGCACTATTCAACATTAGATAATCATCACGGTGAGATTGCATGTTTTACTTGAAAACATATAAATATATATGGACAAAGAGCCTAGATAGCCATTGATAGCATCTCATGCAAGAGGCGAAACGCGTCTGGCTTATAGGATACCACAACCAGAGGAAATTCTAGATGATACCACAACCAGAGTAAATTCTAGATGTACCAGACGACATTCCAGCCTCACTGGTTCACAGATTGCTACAGTGGTAATTGGTGTGTTTTCATTGTTATATTGTAAGCATAACTTTTACTTT